CACTGCGCAGATGTATGCAGAATGGAAATAGTAATGATTGTGTGCGAGCACCAATTGGAACCTTCCCTACCCTGTATCCGACGATCCTGTTTTGCATGATCAAGCAACGGTGTCTAATGTGTGCATATTGGCCCACCCCTGTGCCCAGGAACCCGTTTATGGCCAGCTCTGCGCTTTCTTTATCCTCGCGTGCAACGAGCCTTACACCGACAACCTGGCTGATCAAGAGGCAATTTAAGGACAGCCCCCGAGGTCCTCAGGAATTATTTAACATCGCAAACAGGAAGACAATCACAGCCAGGTGTCAGATCCCCACCAGAGGTTCTTTATAGACGGTCTGGTACGCGTCTCACATAGAACTGGCCAGTCCACGATCCCTCTATAGTGCAGCAAAGAGCTCAAAGAAAGAAGCAAAGACTGAGTGCTCCACTCCCATGGGTTGGCATGGTGACCGTGACCCGTGCTTTGACCAGGGCCCTTTAGAGGCACCGCCTCTCCTGCGAGGTGCGCCACCAGGAAGAACGTCGACTCTCGAGGTAGAGCGCTTACGACGCCTCACCGAGCAGAAGACTTTCAAGCCGAACTCTCTTCCTCCCGGTAAGAAGAGATTGAGATGGGAAGATAAGGTATGGGAACAACGTACCTGAAGATTGCTGCCCCAACCACAAATTTCTCACCAATTGAGCCGACGTGCATTTTGGTGAACGGTCATGGCCTCGGTACCACACACGACATAGCGGAGTGCCACCTCAGCCAAAATGCAATGTCAGCATGCTCTCATCACTCCACATCTGCTGTCGCCACAACAAACAATGCTGTCGCCACAACCTTCCCGGGATGGACCAATACAGCCAGCGTCAAAGTATCCTCACTGCGTAGAAGCTTTGTCAGCGCAGCAAGTAACCAAGACGCCAGCGCCAGTGATCGGCGATCTACGAACCAGCTCTGATACCAAATTGCAAGGAATATGAGCAAGAACGATAGACAGAAGTCCAGATTGCAAGATCATGAAGTAGCCCAGATAGTCATGTACCAAGCAGAGAGCACAATGCACCAAGGTACCATCCAAATAAGAGCAATACAATGAACTGATATGTCAATGTCGACGCTCTTGGTCTCACCAACACAGTATCCAATGTAGCTCCTACTGTCTGGCGCCCAGCCTACACTACTCAGCCTATCTATGCCTATCTACATTCATGCAACTGGATCACATCGAAGTCGAAGACCAATGTACTTGACGTCGTCACCAATGCAGACCGCCAGCATACACCAGGTACATTCTCTCTCCTCTCACCTCACCCCTTCGCTTCCCTCAGTGTGCATCCCCGACACCCAAGGAACACCGTCACCATCACCAGCCTCCGCTGAGCAAAGCCGGCTATGGCTGCTCAGCGCCCGCTGCACCAGCAGCGCTCAACACCACAATGCGCCCGTGTGCGCCTCTTCCTGCCCTAGGCCTACCAGCGGCCTCCAGCGCTCAACCCAGCAGCGCTACTGCCGGCAAGCACACGGCCAGAATCCCCTCTGGCTGCCGTGCTCACTTTCCTTTATGGAAAGTGAGCTCTGCTTTGTCAAGCTCTGGGCCTGGCTGGACGAGTTTCCAGTAGCTTCCACTCGGGCCCCAGTGTCGGCACCCAGGCCCCCAGTTGCTGTTACGGGCCTGGGCCCCTTTACAGTTGAGCACGCCCAGGTAGCCCACGAGGCTACAAGTGTCCGCCGCAATCTCATCGGCTGTTGGCCAGTGCGTGACGAAGATGCTGCATTCTCATTGGTCCACGGCCGTTCTGTGGTGTGTCGGCCTCTGGTGGCTCACGCCCAGGGCCTCAACTGTACGTGCCCTGGGCTCAACTGCCTCTCGGGCTGCTGCTGCCGGAATGAGCCAAGAAAAAGGCTCACGTTACTCTGTAACCAACTGGTGTGCTGCAACTGTCTGATACCCGACATGCAGAATTGACAAAAATAGGCCTCTCGTAAATATTCTGGCCCGCCTTCACTTAGGGTGGGCACAAGTCTGTACGGGGCCTCAGCCGAGATGTGGGGGGAGCCCAGAAGGCCCACTGCACAGATTCAGGCCCGCATATAGATTCCAACAGCTCTTTAGCGTGATAACACTGGCCTGTACCCAGGCCTTGGCACATATTAGCAGGCCCGCCTTCACTTAGGGCGGGCAAGGCCTTTTCCAGCACTGCCGGGGGCCCAAATCTTCGCATCCCTTCCCCCTTAGCTGTGAAAGTCCTGTGAGAAGCTTATGTAACTCCCAATCTGAAGTCTCTGCACTCTTGAGAATATATCTGATAACTGTAGTGTACTTGAAGTAGCAGGACTTCTCGCTGATGCCTTCATCCATGGTTGGGTGCAGCTCATATCCTTTGACCGGGTGGGCCAACGGGCTGGGAACGCATTATGCCGATCGGGTGGGGCAACGGGCTACCCCTAGGTTGGTTGCAGGCACCCATTATGCCCAGGTAGGTACATGAGGCCGCTGGTAATTGACCCATGACCTCCCGAATGCCACTTGTGTGCCTTAACCAACTGAGCTAGGCCACTGACTGATAGTCAAAGCCTTGGGCACTGAGACCGTTTGTTATTGTTAAAACAAAAGTTGTTAGAAGATGACTACAGAGCTATCATTGATATAGCGTCGAAAAAGTACAAACCATTACACCAGCTAAACTTATGAGTCTCCAATGGTTCATCACATACGTCACGCTACCAGTCAACCACTGGATTCACATAAGGAGAAAAGACAGTGACCCAAATAGTACTGACCAATGTGCTCTATTCGACCCAATAGTGAGAACATATCCTCCACTGCTTGATGGGATGCAGAGAAGTAACAGAACACTGGTGTGGCATACTGAGTAGCCACACGGGCCCTGCAGGGCCCGTCCCGCACTTTCAGCCTAAAAGCCTAAAACTTAGGGCTTACAGGCCCCGGTCGTTCAGCCTGAAAGCTGAAATACGAGGGCCTGCAGGCCCTATTCCGTTTCAGCCTATTTCTGGGCCTTTCAGGCCCAGAGGCTTTTTAGCCTGAAACGGAGGGCCATTTTCAGGCCCTCATTGTGTTCGACCTACCTAAGACTCAGGCACGAAAACAGGGTTTCGGAACAGGCCAGAAATAGCCTGTTCCCCACGCCAGCTCAAGCAGGAGCTGCAGCTGCAGCCCCTGCCTCCCTGGGGCATTGGCAAGAGCAGCCTCCTGGACTGCTCGCCTGCAGTCAGGAGGCAGACCCGAGTAGTACATAGGATAGTCCCATGCACTTCACGGGTAGGTAGTTGTCAGTAGGCACGAGTAGTCTTCAGGATTCGGCCGCAGCACTCAGGAGGAGCGCTGCAGTAGTCTTCAGCGCTAGGCAGTAGTCTTCAGCGTTAGCTGTAGTCTTCGGCGCTGGGCGCACATAGCCATAGTAGTAGTCTTCAGCGCTGGGCGCTAGTAGGTGGTAGATAGTAGAGTTGGGAGAGATGGCTGGCGGAGGTCAGCGAGACTTACCTGTGGCGCCATAGCTCCAGCTTCATCTTCGAGGTACCTGCATCAAGGCGCCAACTTCACAGGTTAGTACTGGAGAGAGAGAGAGAGAGAGAGAGAG